GTGTGTGTGTGTGTGTGTGTGTGTGTGTGCGTGTGCGTGTCACTTACAGGCTCTCCAGGCTTTTGGTTCCCGTCAGATCTGGAAACTCAGTGAGATCTGCAGCTCCATTCAGAGATCTGAGAGTTGGACACGGAAAGAGCGTTTAAGCTAAGAGAAGCAGAAAATGATTTACTGCGTTTCATTATTTGCGTAATTAACATCTGCACTGAACAAAAGGGCAACAGGGAGGTTGAGTCTGCATGTCATATATGCTCAGCGATTACTTGATATTTCTCATCTAAAGCTGTCAACACTTGGATCTGTCATGGGGCGGATCTGTGAGGTTCAAAGACAGAAGCTTCAACTTCAGTTTATCAGTGCTGCTTCTTCTTCTTTCAGCTGCTCCCTTCAGGGGTCACCACAGGGAATCACTTAACCCACTCTCACCCAAACCCCCCATCCTCCTCAGCCACACCACCCTCTGCATGTCCTCCTTCACTTCAATAGTTCTGTCACCACCAGCTTGGCCTCCTGTCTTTTTTTCCAGTGCCACCGTCTCCAAACCAAACATCACAGCAGATCTCACTACCATCTTGTAAACCTTGCCTTTCAGTCTTGGTGCTCTCCTTCTGCTACAGTCGGCCATTGCTTTGGATGGTATTTAAACTCAGTTTATGGATATGTTCATTGGAAACCACTGAACCTGTCTTTAGTGGCTGAAGGAAAGGACAGATGGACATCTCTTTGACTCCACAGCTACTGCTTTATGCCATCCATACATCCAGATGTAAGACATTTTGGTCCAGCATCTTATGTTGTCATGCCATTATGCTTTGATGCAGAGCTGAAACTTCTGAGGCAATGGAAGATACCTCTACCATACTAAGGGCCTGTGAAAGGCCAGCGGGCATTTTGATCATCCTTGATGGTCCTACAAGAGGTGGCTAACTTTGTAATAGCTGCTGCCACGCTCTACCTTCAGAGTATATCTCTGTGGCACTACTGAAACTGGGCTTGGAGCGTGAATGGGGTGCATTTACAGCTTGGTTTTGAAAGATTTTACTAATGATATATTCCTAATACAAAATCAGAAAAATGTAATTTGTTTTCCTGAAATAAAGATAACTTAAGGACTTGTGATGCTGCATGAAGGGTCCAGCAAAATGTCTTCAGGTGCCGTGTTGAAAGAAATAAAAAAGAAACAACTATCTCACATCCTTAACGTGTTGACTGGAAATCCAGAGCAGAAATGATGTAATACTGATAATATACATATCTGTGACAAGATTGTTAGACAGAAATTTGGGTCATGGGCATTATTGCCTCATCTTATTTGGAACTTTATTCATGTTTAATGAACATCCATCAATCGAACAGAAGATGTACAGTGATTAATAAATTTATTAGCGCACCACCCAATGGAAGGATATGCCATAGCTATCCTAAATGCACAGTATTGGTAATTACTGAAATCACGTTTTATGTTTCTGTAATCGGTTAATCAGCCTGTATGAACAAGCTTGGTAATTCTTAAATACTTGCTTAAATATTTAAAGTATTTAAATACTTTACTTGCATTCCTGAACAGAAAAAATATATATTTTAATTTGTTGAATGTTATGCTTTCAAGTGCAGTGTGTTGGCTTAAATTTGGAATTCAGTTTGTTTTTGCCTAATAAGTAACAATATAAATGTAGTTTTGCAGATGTTTTGGACAGATGTCTAAAATACCTGTTGCTTTCTTGTTTGTTTTTTTGGGGTAAAATTCCCTGCTCCTTTTTTTTTTACTTCTAATAATAGAAGAAAGTTCCCATATTTATGTAGACATGTTTAAAAAATTGCTCCTTGATATCAGTTTCACTTTTAGTTTACGCCTGTTTGTCTAGAAATGATCATTTGGACCTTTATGAATATTATCGGTTCATAAAGTTCGAGGACTTTATGTTATGCCAGCCTCCTCTTTGAATGGCTGGAAGGAGTTTCTGGTGTGAAGGTGAAGGTCCTTACAGTTCAATCTAAATTGGGATTCAAGAATATTTAGAAAAGATTCAGTAGTTTTAAGTGACTCATTGCTTTGAGACTTATTTATGTCTCTGATCTTGATTAGGCAGAAGTAAAAATGTCTCTATTCTATTGTTTGTCAGGCAGAAAAATCCCAAAACATACTGAAGCACTTAACAGGTTTAGTTAAATCTATAAAAGTGCTGTGCTGTGTTATTTGTGTGTTGAATTTGAGTGTTTCTCACAGCATGCGAAGCTCTGGTAGGTTCTGGAAGGCCGAGCGTCCGACAGAGTGAATTGGGTTGTCATAAAAAAATCTGCAAAACGTCCACAAAAACATGTTTTTCATCTCAGGCTACAGTGAGAAGCTAACAAGTGTTAAACAGAGGTTAGCAAAATTACTTAAGATGCTGGATATAAACATGGAGACAGCCACCATGCTATTGTAGCTTTTTGATTTCTCATACAACAGGGGATCGAACTGAGAAACCGAGGGGCTCTGCATGCCCCACCCTAAAACATAATAAAACATGTTTCATGATCTTTTTAAAAAAAGTTATTATCACTAATAATTATCACCGAGCATAAACATCCTGTTTAGTTCAACAAAACTCATCAGCAAAGTTTTTATCAAGGTGACAACGGAGTAAGAAGAAGGATCATCATTCATGACTGTCACTATCTTAAGGATATAAAAAATAATAGATGAATTTAGCAGATTATTGATTTTATCCTCATTAATTTTGGAACCAGGAAGTAAAAAATATTGTAATCTGTTGAATCTGTTATTAGTTGTACCTACATGGTGTTCAGTAAAGGGTTCCCAGTGAAGGCGTGCTCTGGGATAGACTGGATGTTGTTGCTATGGAATCCGCTAAACAGGAAGATAAAGGAAATTAGTTTCCACCATGTGTTATTATAAAAGTTCCTTCCTTCATTTCATCGTGATTACTGGGAAGCTTCCCTCGCCCTTCTCGTTATTTTGATGACAGTCGTGATTGATTGAACTAACTTTCAGGGAATTTTTTTTAATTGATTTTGTCCTTTTTTCTTTTTCATCAAATATGTAAACAGTCAAGCATAAGATGCTGTCCACATCTTGCCTCATATGCTAACATTTGCTAAACCGGAGAACCTGAGCTAGCCATCTCTGCTGTGGATAAACAGATGCCTTTTTCAATCACTCAGTTGAGACTCACAGCTCCTTGAGGTGGCTGAGTGATCGTATGGCTGTGGGAAACTCCACCAGGCTGTTGAAGTTCAGATCTCTGAGGAAGAAAAAGAGAGATTTCCTTATGTAGCGTCTTCTGCAGCGCACCTTGGTGTGTAAATGCCAAGGTGCTAAAAAGTTCTGCTGAACTTTGTTGAATTAATTACCTTTCACATCAGTAAAGAAGAAAACTAATATTTCTGTAATATTTCTGACAATAAAATGTTTATAAATTAGAATAATGTTTGTTTCAATTAGAAAAATAATTGGATTTGTCACCAGTAGCAGGAAGCACCAGTTATACTGGCAATGGCAAAGTCTAGGCTAGAAATACAATCTCTGTACTGAGAATTGTGGACTCTCAATTTGAACATAAATCCCATATTAGTATTGATAAATCTCAAATTGAGAGTATAGTGTAAAGTAGAGATGGCACGATACCACTTTTTCATGTCCGATACCGATAACGATATCATAAATTTGGATATCTGCTGATACCGATATGTATCCGATATAGTGTTTTTTAATCAATAAAACTGTTTTTTAAATATCTTGCTGCTTTTTGTATAAGTTCATACTCAAGTTAAAAAAACCCACTAAAGCTATTCTGTTATACCTGTATGCAAAAAATACACTGCCCCCAAAATATTTCATAGTTCAGCAAAACTGATCAATCTAATAAACTTAAACCTGCACCATCCTCCCTATTCTGGTATTTTAAAGAGTACTTAGCAGAAATATTAAGCAACCTAACTAATAGGGTTCTAAAACTCCCAGCAAAAACCACAAATAAATTCTTTACAAATCCTACCATGTGGATTCATGGATTTTTTTTTCACATTCTGTCTCTCACAGTTGAAGTGTACCTCTGGTGCAAATTACTGACCTCTGTCATCATTTTAAGTGGGGGAACTTGCACAATCAGTGGCTGACTAAATACTTTTTTGCCCCACTGTATGTAGAAAAGGATCCTGGTGTACAAAGTAATATTAAATAAATTCTAACAACAGATTATCAAGCTTAAAGGTGATGCTGTTGTTCAGCCGCTGGTTTCCTCTTTCTGGAGCGAAGTGGGCGATAGACAAGCAAGAGAGATGGACTCGTGACAGAAAAGCCGATCAGCTGATCATTGATCAGTTTCATGATTGAAGTAGCAGCAGGAGAGGGAGGGAGAGAGAGGCAGTCGTTCCATATATCGGTTGTTAAGCTTAACTCGGGAATGGTTTACAAACATTCAGAGAAGAACTTACACATTTGCTTTACTTCTCTCTGGGATCACTTCCTCGGAAATGAAATGCCAGATTGGTAGTGAGGCTACAAATACACACAGCCGCTCTATCACGTGAGGCATACTGCTGCCACGTGCTACGGTTATTTTGTGAGGTGCTTTTTTGTTATTTAATGGATCGGATTACAATTTTTTATTTCTCTCCAATATCCGATCCAGTAATTTACGTCAGTATCGGACAGATACCGATACGTATTATCGGATTGGTCCATCTGTAGTGTAAAGTATACAGAAGTATATACACTTTATATATAACTCTGTACTCTTAATGATAACCTTTAGATTGGGAATATAGCATGGTAAACACCTGCCCTTGGGGAATAATATACTTTAAACAAGGAATGTTGGGAAGCAAATAGCACCAAAGTCACACCAATAATCTAAACTGGAAATTTCATCTCCAGACTGGTAACTGCTTCACATTTAGAAAACCAGCTCTACACTGGGAATTATGTTAGTTCTATTACAAAAAAGCAGTTTTTAAGAAGCTGTGGGAATGTCAGCTTTATATTAGAAAAGTGTTTCACGTAAATGTTTGTGTTTCAAGTTTGATGTTTAGCTTAATCTTTTTTTTCCCGTCTTTTGAGTTTATTAAAGAAACATTTAACTGTGCCTCCCTCTTTTGCTCTTTTCTTTCATCACCAGCAGAGACTAGAGCATTCTTCAAGTCCACACATGGCTTCAATTAGGTTCTCTCATCCATCTCTGGGATGCAGGTGGCTATTATACACACTGTGTGTGGAATGAAGCTGCCACATTGTGAAAAATACCATTAAATTGAAATTGCTTCCGTCTGGTTCTAAGTGTGTGAGTACATGTGTGTGTCCGGGGGACGATCAGGAACAACAATAACTGGTATGCTTTCTGTTTTCCAAGGTTATTATTGATGGAGCTTGGACGTTTGGATTGGATGAGAGATTTTTCAGACATCTACAATCAGGTTAGGATTTTTGGATTTGTGGCTGGGTTTGTATCAAGCCTTCTTGTTTCTGTCTCTCATAGATTATTTTAGTTTTGATGTAATGATTTTGATTCGGTTTTTTGTAATGAATGTATTTACAGAGATAGGAAAATTAATAAACCTTTGCCTTGAAGTTAAGCAAATAATGTGTTACATTAAATAGTAAATAGTAATCAAATATCATTTTAGCTTAAATTCTGCCTCCGAATAATTGTGTCTTCCATGTCCATGTAACAAGTGTTTTCTTTTATTACTTTGTACTTTGATTTATAGCGTTATAGATGCACATCAGTTAGCATGATTAGCCCCAGCCTTGCTAATGCTTGCTACACTTAGTAAGCTAATCTATTTATCCTCTAAACAGGAAATATTGAGTCAAATTTGTAATGTTAACTCTCGATGTTTTGAAGCGTAACATCAGGGGCAAGAACGATTACGTTGGAAATATTAATCTGGGATATGATCGGTCAAAACTTGGACTAAAGGCTGTGCTAAAAATCCTGTGAGAGGTTATGAGTCATCATAGGCATTAAGGCTAACTCTAATTTAGGACAATTTTGTTAATGAAAGTCAGCTCAAGATTTGGACATCTGCTGCCCTATGACAACTGGGATAAGCTCCAACCCAATGAATAAATGGGAAAAAAATGGATGGATGGATGGATGGACAACCATTATCAAATCTGGTTTAGGAACATCAGCCATGCTCGACACAAGCTTTGGATATTATCATTTTTAGATAGTCTGTACTGGAATGGTTGGCTCTTGGATAAACACCTTTACAGTGGGAATGGTGAGCTCTGCACACAGAGTGATAAACCTTAGCCAGTGAACTCGAAGAGTTCAAAGACAGACCCAATGAATGGGAAATACAGCAGGTGGAAATAAACCCAACTGATCCCTTAAGACTTGGTTTTCATTGACATATATTACTTTCTCTACTGAAAATAATTAAGAACATGCTATGGCTCATTATCTTGACTGTCAGGTGTCAGTCAGCATGGTGGTTTTTATTTTTGTGGGTTGGGTCATGTTACCCACAAACAGTCTCAAAGGTTTGTGTGGAGATGTTTTGAGAGCTGGATTTTGGTCTTCTGTTCACCACTGTTTCCGTCACTTACTGGAACCAGAAAATCTTAATTTGGCCAAAAGGGAGGAGGCCTACATGAAACATGAAAGAATGTTCTTCCACAAGTCAGATGTGTTTTCCTTTAGGTCTGATCAGAGCTTGGTTGCATTAATTTTTTTCTGCTCTCATATCCGTTTTCCTGGTCCCTCTCTGTCTGTGTTTGTAGCTTCAGATGAACATGAGTCTCTGCTCTGGTTTATTATTGCTCATCATACAGGTACACAGCCTCCCAACACGCATACACACACAAACACATGCTGCCCATGAGTGTGTGTGTGCATGAATAGTAATTATGATTAGCATACAGCCCAGGCCACACACAGAGCCAGCTAAGCGCACACAGAAGTATTTCCAAATGAAGTCCGTGTATGTTTGTGTGTTTAAACCTGCTTCTCTGGTTGACTGAGAAAACAGAAACATTTCTATCCACACACACATTCCTCAGATTATACGCACACACACAACATAAACACACACACACACACAGGTTAATCTGCTCTGTCTCCATTTAATATTTCCATGTAAAATGCTTACTGGTGACGGCAGAAACAACTGGTATCTCTCCATAAAGCGCCACGCGTGTACTGGCTTGGATTGCAAATGGTTAAAATAAGATTGATGATCATTTTAAGAGTGAGCATTTCTCAGAAAATTCCCACATGTGTTTCTGTTCAAGCACGCGCCATTTTTTAGATCTTTTAAAATCAGCTGTATGTGGAGCTCGTGATGCTGCTAGCCATCAGTAAACTGTACTGTATATTAATAATATACCTACAAATGACACAAATAGATGTTTTGATTTTGGACAAGTTGGTTGTAAAAAATATGTTTATGACAAAATAGAATATAAATCTAAAAAAAGCGTCTAACTTCTGTGATAAAGGTGAGGTTTTTACAGCCTATTTTTAGTCTTCCTCCCTGTATTAGTTAATTTCTGCCTTTATTTTGAAAGTCAGCAGCCTTTCATGATTTTACTTCCTTCCTTTGTTCTTTTCCCACCCTGCTCACGGTCTTTATTGAGTTTCTCCCTCAATCTTTGTCTTCATCATCAATTCTTGCTCTCGAGTTTCTTGAGCCCTCCAATGACCCTGAGTTGGATAAAGGAAAGAAAATTGATGTTTTCCATTGTGTGGATCTTATTGTTTATCTGAAAGCTCCAGATTCTTTATTTTTTCCATCAGCCTGACTGACCTGTCTCCTTGGTGTCTATAATTTGGATTGTTTACTAAGTTGAACAAAATAAATATGACGGCTCATCAAACAGACTGCAACCTAAGAAATCAAGAACAAACATGAAGAAACGTCAACACGTTGTGTTTTACGTGTTTTTGCAGCCTTTTTCTATTTGCTGGTGTTGCAGTGCAGTTGATCTCACAGGGCCACTGTAAAGTGCCATTATATACATTGAGCCTGAATATACATATATGACAGAAAACAACATTAAAAAAATAAATGTATCAGATTTATCAATTGTTTTTTTTCTTCGTTTAACGTTTATTTATTACTTACTGCAGGGATCTCAAACTTTCTCCTGATAGTCAGAATTTGCCGTAATCCAGTCCAGCCCACTGAATGCCTTTGCAAACTGAAATAAATGCAGGGATGGAGTGCATAATTTTCAAACTAGATGTGGGCTCCAACTTATCAAAAAAAGATCATCAAGCTGTTTATTCTCTTCAAAGCCACAGATCTGAACTGTCGGCAGTTTTACAGTCTTACCATAGCTTGCCTTACCACATCAAAATAAAATATGTACGCTAAAGAGCAGTGCTAACATTGCTCTTTAAGGCGTTCTCTGGAGCTTTGCTGGTACTTTCTCTTTGTTTCCTTATATCTTTGTGCTAAGGTAGGCTAAAGATGAAACTCTTGAAAAGAAAGAAAAAAGATTCCTCCAAATCAGTGCAGGTTCTTTGAACATAAATCCCATTAAGGATCCTCTACAAATGTAAAAATTAAGGCTCTCTCATCTCCTAACCCTTCACCCTGACCCCAACTCAACCCTGACTGCTCCAACTCCTGCTCACACGCACTCACACGAGCGCACACACAGAAACTCACAGCGTCTCCAAACTGTGGAGTCCGTGGAAGCAGTTCGGTCCCATGGAAACGATCCTATTGTTGTTGAGATGCCTGGGGAGAGAGAGAGCGAGAGACTGATGGACTAATGAAGCAGACAAAGACTGTGTGTGTGTGCGTGTGTGTGTGCGTTCTTTCAAAGGGGCCCAGGAGTCTCTCAAGAAGGTTTTTTTCTTTTGGTAATTTCATGCAAATTAGCTTCAAACCGATTGGACAAAAGGAATGACAGCAGACTTCAATGCTGCCGCGCTGAATGCCATCACACAAACAGAGAGCTTGCATGTTATTAAGGAGCTAATACAGACGGACGGGGACAGTCGCTTCCACGGTTGAACTTAATGCTCCTAACAAAAACACACACAGATAAAAACAAAAACACTACCCAAAAAGTGGAAAAGAGTTTCTGTAAGCCTGCATATGAAGAATAGATCTGATTTAAATCCTGATGTTTTAAGGTCAGTAAACTTAAGTTAAGCTTTTTGAAATGAGTTTAAATTAAATTACACCATACACAACCATTTTTCTGAATCTGAAGCAGATATATGGGAAAGAATGAATTTTTATTTATCATTTAACTCATTTACAAAATTTTCAACTTTAAAATATATAGATACATTTTTAAAAAGATAAAACAAATTTAAGCTAAACTGTTGTAAGATGGTAGTCGGTGGTTATACCGCACCAAATTACAACAACAACAGCCTCAAGGTGACCGTTGTTGTGATTTTGTTGTTTCAAGATTTCATTTTGGTAAACGAGATTCTCCTTTTGATCTCCTCACAGAGTGTTTGCTTGACTTAAACTTGATTGGTAAATGAAAATCATACTACAAGCAGGAAATAAATGAAATCCATTTGACCATGAAAAATCTTTTTCTCCCTTTTGCTACAGATTCTTTATGTTTATATACAAATCTCAGAAATCAGTTTCTGAGATTACAGCTACTGGATCTATGCTAAAAAATGTCTCAATTATAACAGAATAACAGAGTAAGATAGCCTACTAATAAACTATCTACCTAAATCTAATGTATGGTATGTTTGCTATGGACAACCACTGTTGGATTTACTCATAAATAAACCAGATTTAGCCAGCTCCTTTCATTGGTAACCAGCCTAGTTTAACAGCAAATCTACTACCAACACCATTAGTTAACTGGTCCTCCAAGACGGTCCTGTACACATTCCAACCATCTACAATGGAACCCTAGTGTCACATAAGGTGTTCTACTCTATTCTACTCTATTTGTTTGCTCTGGATAACCCAAGTTGTGTATACATACAGCACCACCAGGCGGCCCAGCTTGCTGAAGGCATGGTCGGGGATGTGGCTGATGTGGTTGAGGGCAAGTGTCATGGCCTGCAGGGCAGGGAGCTCGCCCAGCGCCTCCACTGGGACCTCCCTCAGAGAGTTATCATCCAGCCAGAGGTGACGGAGTGAACGCAGGCCGGAGAAACAGCCAGCGGGAACACTAGAGATATGATTGGCGTCCAGTCGACTATGAAGAGATATACACACTGATTTTAAATGTACATTCAAGCAAACAGTTATGTGTACATATATATGTAAATGCATTTATGAAGTTTCACAGTTTCACGCACACAATCTACACCCATTTTGGCTCCTACCTCAAAGCACACTGTGCGCTGTCGATCCTACGTGCTGTACAATAATATTCAATATTTACTGTTATATTCACATAGATCATCGCGATGATGTTGTTTATTATATTGCTCTTTTTTTTTGCTTGCTCTCTCTTTTTTCTTTCTCAACAGTTGATCCAGGTGATTGATATGTGTATTTTTTGTCTGTTTGTTTTGTTGGTTTTTGTTTTTTGCCCTTCATCACCGTTCCTCTTGCCTGCTGTTTTTCTTTCCCTCTTTCTTTCTCCCTTTTCTTTCCCCCAGTCAAGTCTGTCCCATGTGTAGCAAGTGAAAATAAAATAAAATAAACAATAAAAGCAAAGGTAAATCAAATAGACCAATACAGCAAGGCCGGGATGGTCCATTTGGTAAAATAAACCTGTTGGGCATCTTTCTTTGCCTTTAGACAAAAATTTTTATGACGGCAAAAGAACCAAACGGGACAGGCGGAAAAAAAAAAGTTTCACAGAGCAATTCTGTATACATATTGCCAATGAGTCAGGTTGGTGCAAACACATAACTGTATATAATATGCAGAATGTAAGATTTTTGGTACTAAAAGTTTTTTGCTCTTTGCCAGTAAACGAGAGGTAATTTCAAAACCCGATGATCCTATAATATTTGCACATAGGAAAGGATGGCTAGCTAGCTCCAGATATCAGATCTTAAACTATTGGCCATTATCCCCAGAGACTGGGACGATTCCCAGATTGGTTTAATCAATAAATTAGGGACAAGATTTAGGGTTGGCTCCAAAATTAAATTTTCTGTTTGGAGGTATTTAGAAATCTAGCAACGTTTCTGAATCAACTGTAGAAACATAAAAATTAATAAACAGCCTTTTAAATTGAAGAGTTTTCTTTTTCTTGAAATTAACAACATACAGTACAAAAAAGTGCAGTTACTAAAAAAAATGGTAAAAAACAAACAAACCCCAAAACAAAACAACAACAACAACAAAACAAAAACAATGACTAAATTTAGTGATGGAACCTTCGACTTCTGCTCTGCAGATAACATACTAATTTCTCATTTTTAATAAAAAGTACAAAAAACCCATCCATCCTTTCTGCAATTTTTAACTTAAAGCGGCATTATAGTTACATAATTAAGACACTTTAGAACTAATAACTCTTTTTACTGATTAAATTATTATTAAATTATTCACATAATAACAGAAAACATCTACTTTTTGAGATGCACAATAAAAGCTCTATGTTTAGAGACTCAAAATGCAAAACTGAAGGCTTCACTTCACTGTCTGTTCAAGAGGAACATTAGAAATCAAGTGTTTGACCAGCAGCAAAGGAATGATCGGCAGGCTGCTCAAGCACCACTCAACCAGCCTCTCGGCTCTCAGGTCAAATGAAAGTATTTTAATGACCACACTTATTACTCATGTGATTGTGTGGATTTTGTGAGTCGGACAAAGGCACAGCTCTCAAAAAGCAGGAAAATTAAAATAATAAGCCTTAATACGTGAGTGACTGAACATTTGTTAGGCAGTGGTATTAAGCACGTCCAAAGACATGCAGCTTGTGGGGATAGGTTAATTGATTAATCTAAATTGTCACTAGGTGTGAATGTGCGAGTGAATGCGAGTGTGAATGGTTGTCTGTCCCTATGTGTTAGCCCTGCGACAGACTGGCGACCTGTCCAGGGTGTACCCCGCCTTTCGCCCTATGACAGCTGGGATAGGCTCCAGCCCCCCCCGCGACCCTGAAAAGGATAAGCGGAAGCGAATGGATGGATGGATGGATGGTATTAAACAATGCAAAGACGCAAAAATAATTGCTTAATTATTTGAACTGAAGCATTTAAAGGTCCATTTTAATTTGTTTGTGTCTTGTTTATGTGTTAATTAACTTCTATACACATGTTACAGCATCAAGACATTTTGTTCAGTCTTACCACCATGTTTGATTTTTAACTGTGTTGCTCAAAGAGAGGTTGTTAGGTAGAGCTGGATCAGGTGAGCCTGAACCCTCTCTTAGTTACGCTGCAATAGACACTGACCACTTCTTCTTCACTCATCTGTTTTCACTCTTCACGAGTTTATACACCACTGTTTAATCATTACCTAATTCATTTTAAATTCTGGCTCTCTTTCACAGTGTGTCTTTTGTTCTGTTTCCTTCCCCTCACCCCAGCTGGTTGCAGATGGCTGCTCCTTCTTAACCATTGTTCTGTAAGAGATTTCTTCCTGTTAAAAGGGAGTTTTGCCTTCTCACTGTTGCCAAGTGCTTGCTCATAAACTGAGTCATCTGATTGTTGGGGTTTCCTCTTTACACAACAATTTAGGGGCTGAGGCAACATTTGTTGTGTTTAGCACTATATAAATACAACTTATTTGAATATTATAATACATAAATACTTGGTATAGCTTTTCCTGTTTTTTATACGTAATATGAATAAAATCTGATAGACAGTGTTGTAATATTTCCCAATATGGAACATTTTACCTTTAACACCTGTTGATTTGTGCTCTGAATCAGGGAAGTTTGATTCAGATATAGATGTTGCATATAGGATAAATGATAATTCTGCTAATGCTACATGCTCAGATTAAACTCAGTGATTGACTGATTGGGTGTGGGGATATTTGAGATATTGGCACAGAGATGTCTAAGGGTCTGGTCTTAATTTACTAATTGACCAGTTTAATATTAATTTAAAAAAGTTACTGAATATTATTCAGTTCCCTTTTACTGACTTTTGCTGTCTTGAGTTCAGGCAGAAAACTCACAGCTCTTTTGCAGGCTGTGCAACATAAACATGCAAGATCTGTAGATATAAAGAGAGAGCTGACTGTATGTTCATCCTAACAGTAGTTCCTCTGTTCACATGGAGAGAGAAGAGAAGGATGGGACTTCACATAATTGTCCATTAGATAAATGAGAGAGACCTTAGACCAAAAGAAAGACTCAGACGTCTCCATTCTTATACCCTTATCCTTCCCCCCCCTTATCCTTCCCCCCCAACACACACACACACACACACACAGCGAGAGAGGTACAGTTTCAGTATAATTACTGTGTGTTATCAGGCTCAGAGAACACACTCGCTGCACTACATACATTAATATACTGAGCCGTGTGTGTGAGACAGATTCCTTTCCACCAAAGAGTAAAATGAAACGAAGGGATTAGTGCAGCGCTCCCTTTTTTGCGCTACAGACCGGTTTATGCCTTTAAGCTGTCGCGGATAAATACAACAAAATGAAACCAGTACTGGTAGCAAAAAAAGGAAGATTTATTCATCACCAGTGTTGGTCAAGTTACTTGAAAAAGGTTATCAGTAACTAATTACTGACTACTTCCCCCAAAAAGTAATCCTGTTACTTTACTGATTACTTATTTTCAAAGGTAATCAATTGTTAGTTACTTAGTTACTTTTAAAAAACACGATTTACAACCTGAATAGGTAATAAAGAAATCATTCAGCCCAATTCTACTTTTTCTGCATGATCCATCATATAAAATGTAATCAAATGGAAAGGTCCCTTTTTAAAACTTGTTTTATTAGTTTTAATCTTTTAACTTTATGCATCAAGCAAAAATTCAATTATATGCAACATTCTCTGACTGGAAGAAATTTGTTTAACATTTAAACCTATTTTCTGCACATTCCAGCACATAAAATAAAATAATTTTTTGTGTTTACACTCACTCTTTCAAATAGATGCAAGTGAAACACAGCAGAAAATATCAAAGACTCAGTGGTCCTGTTGCTCTATTTTCACCTGTATAGCAGGCAGAGGATTACCCTGGTGCAGATGTGCCACAGCAGTCAGTGGAAGAATCTGCGAGTTTGTCTATGAATTTCACATTCCGTCGTAGCGCACTCGGTGCTTGCTTGGAAGTTAAGGGTTTTTTCGCTGTAAAAAGAAGTTTTCTTCCCACGCAGTGAACAGCGGACACTAATGTTTTTGTCACTTTTTACGGAATCAAACTCAAAGTAAGGTCAGTACTTCCACGCTTTAAACACTGCACGCTCATACTCTCTCCCGCACTCGATATATGATCCATTGTTTATCTGCACACAGCTGTTTCCACGAATGTCGCACTCGCTTACGTCATTGTCACTCTTGCAAAAAAAATCACAGTTTTAGTAATGCAGTAACGCGGCGTGCTTACGGGAAAGTAACAGTAATCTAATTACCTTTTTTTTGCAATAGTAATCCCTTACATTACTTGAAAAAAGTAATTGGATTACAGTAACGCGTTACGCGTTACTGCCCATCTCTTTTCATAATGCATTCAAAGACCCAGGGAAACCGAGTTAACCCTTCAAACCCTGACCTAATTTACCCTTTAAACCAGGGGAAGACAACTCCAGGCCTTATGAGTAGATGTCCTGCAGGTTTTAGATGTGTCCTTGATCTAACACAGCTGATTCAAATGGCTAAATTACCTCCGCAACATGTCTTGAAGTTCCCCAGAGGCCTGGTAATGAACTACTCATTTGATTCAGGTGTGTTGACCCAGGGTGAGATCTAAAACCAGCAGGACACCGGCCCTCGAGGCCTGGAGTTGCCCACCCTTGCTGAAAATGCTAACCGTCACCCGTGATGGGTTAGGGTTTAAAGGGTTAACAATAAAAACGATAAAGAAATAACAATAAAAACAGATAAAAACTCTGAAAACCATGAATTTCACACCCGAGCCTCAACTCTCGCGGCCCGGTACCAAACGACTTGGGTTGAGGACTGCTGGATTAGTGTGTCTATATGTGTATTATTCATTTTTTGTAGGAAAATTAAGCCATTTTAATATCGCATGGACTTATTATTGGTTATTGGTAACTTTATTGTCCCTAACGGGAAATTGATTTGCAGTATGTCCGTACAAACAAACAAACAGACAACCAACACATCACATACACACTCCAAAATAATATAATATAATATAAGCCTGAGAAAACAACCTAGATTTTTTATCAAAAAAGTACAATGTGCAATGGCAACAACACTTATGGTTTAGTGTTATTAACTATGATAATAGCAGTAGGTACAAAAGACAATCTATGTCTCTTTGTCTTCACTGCAGGCACTTTATAACGACGACCTGATGGAAGCAGTTGAACATCATTAAAGAGAGGATGATCTGAGCACAACAGGACAGAGGTTGCCTTCGGAATATGTTAAAAACATGTTTTAACAAATGTTCCCATAAGATACATCAATAGCACAAAGACAGAGGGTGTAGTTTAACTTGGGGTTAAAGTTAGGTTAAAGGTATAGTTATATTAAGCATAGATTCAAAATTAGGTTTACATAAGACAAATGATTATAGCACACAAATAAATTTAAGAGAAACTAAAATAATACACAGTATTTATAAAAGATAAAATGTGTGGTCAGTAAAATGGCACAGTATATTTATAAAGTAAGAATTAACATAATATAATACACGAAACTAAAAAAACCCAAAGTGAAATGTGACTCACAGTGACTGCAGGTTGTGCAGGTTGTTGAAGGCTTCAGCAGGAACAGATCTCAACTGGTTGTTTTGAAGCATCCTGTAAAAACGCAATCAAAACTTTAACAAAAAGTGTTAAACGCAACAAAACAACACAAAGATGGTTTACAAGGACCACATTTTGGGAAATACTAGAGTCGCATGTATATCTACAGGATAATCAGAAGCCAGTAATCTTAGCATAAAGTCTGGAAATTAAGGAAATAGATTAAAAGTGGTGAATAACTATTTTTATACTTGTCTGTGTTGTGTTGTGATTTCTTTAAAAATATTTTAGTTTATAATATTGGTTTGTTAAAGGATATATCCTCCTTTTCTTCAAGACATGTTTGTATATTAAGTAATAAATCAGACTTCATAGATAAACATACCTGGGTGTCATCTGCATAGAAAACAAACATGTATTCTGTGTTATCTAAAATATTGTCTATGCCTTTCAAAACTGCAGCTTTCACTGCCAATGCTCCTGGTTGCAGAGTGACTAAAAATAGACTGCTTATACTGTTTTGGCCTGTATATGCTTGCATATTTTTTTATGTTGATAGGTTATGTTCTTTTAGATCAAAACCCATTAAGTGCAACAATAAACATGATGTTAATGAAATGAAAAAGTATTTAAAGTATACTATATACTAAGTAAAGTATTAAAAAAGTTTAATACCAGATAAATATCTGTAAAGTACCAAATAATTCTATGAATACAAAGATGTTTATACTTAATAGTAATATTGACATGTTGTGTTGGCTTCAATACAAGAGTCAAATATATTTTGAGGCTCCCTACAGATTTTGGGGACAAAAAAATTAGCTCAAAATGACTCTTTAGATTGTAGAAGTTACTGGCCCATGAAAATATAATAGGCCCTAGTGCACAACCCTGTGGAACTCCATTTATTACAGAATTTGTTTTGCAAATCTTTTAGAAGTTTCTGTGTTACCTGGAAACTTATTTTCTTGCTTTCTTTCTGTGTTGGTCAATCCCAATTATTTTATGAAGTCTAACAATAAAACAAAAAATGTGAAACGTCCATTCATAAAACACAGCCAGCTGTGGCTCAGGAGGAAAAGCGGGACGTCTCTCAATCAGAAGGTGAGATGTTTAATCTCTAGTTACTTCAGCCAGCATGTCAAAGTCTTTTTGGACAAGATATCGACCCCTGAGTTGTCCCTGATTAATCCGTGTGAGTGGGTGTGTCAAGGTGCATAGGCATAAAAAAACAATTGCATGAATGTGTATGATATTGGGTGAATGAGGCTTGTAATTAAAAAGCCCTTTGTGTGCTCAGTTCGAGTAGAAAAATGCTTTACCAAATACCAAGTTTCAAGACTAATAATGTGTATGATTGTAGCTTTTAGAAATATTATAAAGACAGTACTATAAAGTGCTGCAATAACAGGAGTTCAACAGTCCCAATGTTTACAGATCAATAAAATAGAAAATTAACTGACCCAGAAATGAACAGAGAGAAGAATGAAAGACAACAGAATAATGTGTTGGTATGAGCGAATGTGTAAAATGTAAACAGGGAACAGAAGTGTTGTTCCAAACTGCAGAAACTGTGCACTAAACCGAGACACACATGAAATCTTCAAAGTGTCTCTGTGAATGATTAGCACCAGTAAACATACCACACAATATTCCAGTGTTTGTGTGCGTGCTTGTGTGTGTGTGTGTCTGGGGGGTAGGAGGTGGGTGAGGGTTGTAGAGAGGGTGGGGTTGAGTTGCTATCTTTCTGAGGACCCTTATCAGTTTTAAACAATCGTAATCTGTTAGATCGCACCTTTATCACTGATGCTTTATGCACCCCGATGTAAACCGTATACAGCTCTTATCTTACTCCAGTCCCATTTATCTTTGAACATGTGTGAAGTCTCCAGTGAAGTTTCACTGCTTGCACAATGACAATAAAGCTCTCTGATGCATCTTGGCCAATCTTTACAAATTCAAAGGACGTTTAAAGGTCAAGATCAAGTTTGAAGGAACAGATCTTAATACAGGTAGAGAATAGCCCAGTAAAAATAGCCCAGCAGAGACAGTATAATGGGATTAAACAGTCTAGGTTAAACACCAAAAACCAATAAATGGTTTTTTTTAGTGTTTAACCAGGATGTTCTTTTAGGAACATATTCACATAACAATCATAAAATGTGTATGTTTGCTGAGGCATCATGCCAGTGAGGAAATATGTGTGAACTTACAGCACTTTGAGGTTGTAGAGGCCAGTGAACGCTCCTCTGGGGATGAAGGTCAGATCATTTCCCGCCAAACGCCTGAGACACACACAGAGAGAGATTATAAGCATTACTGACTTCAGATCATTTTTGGCCAAATTAGCATAAAAATGAACTAAATGAGGGATGTGTTTACAAATGGAAAATATTTTTTAATGTTTCTATGAGGAGTTCAAAGTGAATGTTTTTTGTGTATAGCCATGAATATCTTTTACACAGGGTGACCCCAAAGCACCATGTCAGCCTATAAACAGCCTCCAAATATGAAAATGAAACATGTATGAGAAAAGGTGTCCTCTTCAGTGTTCCAAGTAAACTTCAGATGAAGTGCCACCATCACCTTTCAGCGTGTCCACCCCCATCAGAGATGGGCCAACCAATCAAAGCTGCTGCATTCATGCTAACAAAGTGTCTCAAAAAGAGGGCTTTTACTATTCTTTTACACTTTGGCAGTGGGTCCTTAGTGCTTTTGGTGCTTGCTGTTGTAGGTGGAGGCATTTACAAAGGAGTATTAGACATTAAGAACATTGTTTTAAGATAAATTATTATTGTTCATGTTGAGAATAAAGTGGGAATACGGAGGTTAACATTGTTTCAAGTCAAACAGCTGCCACGGCTGCTATACTCTCTACAAAATACCATTTCAACTTTAATCTCAAAATTTTGGATTTATTCTCAAAATGAATAATAATAATGAAAAAAAAAATCCTTTTCATTCCTAATGTAGAACTCATACTCCGCTGTGGGTATTTCCTCAATTATGAGCCTGTTGTTTGTTGTTTTACTTCTTCAGACGGGACGTCAGAACACAGTCCAGGTGAGGATGTTAACAGCAAATCCTTGAGCTTGCAGGGTTTACTGCAACCGACATTTATCTTAATATTTTGAAACGTTTCCGAGTTTAATGCAAAAATATGACATCTTATACGCTGAATATGACAACATCTTATCTCATCTTTAGAAGATGCCATTCCTAAGCAATTAAAATTTAGAGCTGCTTGGATACAGTCTGCAAGATGAACTGATGAATTTGTTTCCAAAAACTCACAAGTTTAGCTTTAAGACTCGCACTGAGCATCATCTTTTAGACAAGTTAACAGTCAGACATCAGGTGTGTTTGGGGATCCGTGTTTCCAGCACACACGGTGCTTTCATTTCAAACCAACAGCAAAAAACTGACCCACAGTGGGTCCTGTAGGTCTGTATGTTTTTCAGGGGCCACACAAAGTTCAGCCAGTCTGCCTACACCCAGCATGCATCTGTGCGGTGTCCTATCGCCGCAGTGACGTTTCTCACGCTGCGGTGACAAATATCACACACACACACAGACACATACAGCTGGCAGCAGAGCATAACAGCAGTCAGAGTCATGTTCAGGTCCCTGTGAGGTCAGCCTCGCCGTCTCTCGGCTCCCCAGCTTTAAGGAAATGTTCGTACAGGACGTGGCGGCTGCTAGGTGAGGAGAGATGGGATTACATATCATCTCCTCACAGATACATGAGCTCAACGCCCGCTCAGACACCCTCACTTTCATCCATCTCAGTCTATCGCCCACCAACAAGAGTTCGTAAGATATCTGATCATGTGTGGAGACTTGAAGGATGATAAAGAAGAAAACATATACAAGGTGTGGAGAGGAGATTCTGAGAACAGGTTCTTAAAAGCTACAAGCCTGGTTTAAGTTAGCCTGATTGTTGGTTCAAGGTCATCTTTTCGTGCACCTCTGGACCATTTTTAGAGAGGCTTCTACTTTTAGAGCAGCTATTAGCGGTGTCATCGTGTCACCTTGCACTTGTACCTCTGTGATATATGCTGAATCTTCTCCATTGTTTCGAAATGGCAAGACTTCTTCTGAGTCTACACTGACTTCAAGTAAGTCTTCAGGAAATAAGTACAGGTTGTGTAAAGGCCCTCTGAAATGATGAAAACGACCATGTGTTTGTGTGACTCACAGCTCCTCCAGGAAGTGCAGGTTGGACAGAGCTCCGCTGGATAACACAGTCAGATTGTTCATACTGAGATCACTGCAGAGACACAGAGAGAGAGAGAGAGAGACTGTTAGTGTCGCTCTATCTTTAGCTTTAGTCAGTCACATCTGACCTTTTGGCTCAGACGTGACTGACACACCTGGATTTGTAAGTACAGAAACAAAACAGAGCATAAACTAATAAAAAGTCATCCAATACATATTAATGAATCAGTGTTGACTGTAAAAATAATGACACACGTTGAAAATAAACAGAATTATTTAGACTTATGAATTATTAAAGAACCACAGAGACCTGTTTATGCTCAGACACAGGAACCATTCAACAGCCTTCGCACGTAAAAACATTTAGTCTGACAACCTCTGGGAGCCCCGTTACGCATATATTTCCACATTTGTGAAGACCCCTCATGCTGAACCCAAACTAATGTCGCGCTGTTAATGTAGGGGAGCCAATCAGAAAAATGATGGCTTTAATAGGAAGCACTAAAACAAATCGCTTCAGACAGAAGATCTGAACTGAAGGGCTGCATGAAGGCCCAGTATAAGATTAAAAAGGATTATTTTGCAATTTCAATCACACAAATCCAGTCTAGCAGAGTTCAGGGTGTAGCGGTTTCCTATGCACAGAGTTAGACATACAAGCACATAAACACACCCATGCAGGACTTCCCGCCTCTTTTAAGGCCAGTGAAAGGAATGAGTCAACACACACCTGAGTGAGAAACAAGACAGGAGTAGAAATTACTGGAAACACTGAAAGCAGGAGAGCAGGAGGAAAGAAAGGAGCAGGTTTCCCTCCTCCTTGCTCACAGTGACCTCAGCCAAACTCAAACACTTTTATCTTCCCTGTTCCTTCACGTTATCTTAGCTCAAGAACTTTGAATCACTAGTGACAGCTCTGATTTGTACACAGATCTGTGTTGTTTCCCACTAAAAAAGACTCACAGAAATCTACAGTAATGGTCTCTGTATTCTGATCTTCAGATTTATGCGCTGCAGTTAAATAAACACTCTCAGACAAAGCTTTAGTCCAACCGCTTGCTAGCTGCTTTAACTCGTGTTTGCTAAAGCTATTTTGTTAAGTTAATATCAATAACTTTTAATCTCTTGACGCGTGATGAATAACCCAGGTAAGGAAATCCAAGGAGGTTGATTCAGTTCACCTGAACACAAATTTCAGTGGGAGAAACACTTCATCCCTCATCCAAGCAACTTTCAGCCTGAGCCTGGAGAAGTGACTTCAGACTTTAATGAAGATGTAGTTTCAGACTTTAATTAAATTTAAATTGGCGAGTCAAAATATTTCACCCACACACAGATGTTATGAAGTCTTAATTAAAGTTTTTGTCCAAACACCAATACCATAAAACAAGCCTCCAGTAAAAGTATTTTCTTTGAGTGAAATGGACCTGAAAATAAAATAAATGAATAAATAAACAAACACAAAGGCTGATAAAAAAAAACATTTGGGGCATTCTGAAAGAGAAAAGCTACCGCATAAAGTGGAAAATCATCCATTAAGACACAAAATAATTGTAAACAGATGAAAACTGAACACAGAAAAATAAATTACAATTAAATTAAAGATTTTTTACAAAGAGAAGCAAATGACTACAAGTGAAACAATCTGATTATAAGGACACAACGCATTCACAGAATTACCGAAAAGAAACAAACAAACAACCAAAGAAAACCCCACACACTACATCACTATCATAACCCACACATACACACCTGTGCGTCCACACACCTCAACACTATGTCAGGAATGTGATCTCATCTGTTTACTAGCAAGGCTGCAGAAACAGAAAAAAAATCATCAGCATGTTGGTTAATTTTGCGCTGTCGTGAATATTTTTGGAACTTTTATGGCTCCACGGCTCAAAAGCAAAGTCAAAACAAGCCGACATCGGCGCTTGTGATTGGCTGCAGGGACACCGTTTGTTGTATGTTGTGTTTGTGTGCAGCCATGACGTTCTTCCTCCTTTCTTTTCTTCTCTTATCTGAACCGTCTATTTTCTGCTCTCTGATAACTATCGGCAGGTAGCGTCTTTCCAGGAGGGCTCGGGTCTGAAAGGAAGCCGAGACAGACTGTCTCTGTCTTTAACACACACACACACACACACACATACACAGAGAGAGAGAGAGAGGGAGAGGGTGTGTCTGCAGGTTGAATACACCGGTTGTTAAGGAACTTTCTCAACACTCCATAAAACCTGTTAATGTGTGTCCACAGTTAGTCTGGTCGCACAGACAGACACACACAGAGCGCCTCTGTTTAGCTTTATTTTAGCAGAATGCTCCTTTACTCTTGAGCAGACTAACGGTGTTATGGCTGATTGGCTTTTACTGCCGCTCACAAAAACCCCAGCACATTTCATTCACTCATTCATTCATAAAGATAAATATGTAGTCGTGTAGGCTGCGTGTGAGCGTGCTTCGACACACCGGGCTGTTCATTAGTCAGGCGGAGGCCTCTGCATGCGCCCACATACAGAACATTAACATAAACAGAAATCACTGTATGTGTTTCTTTATGATTGCAAATGTGATTTAACTTAAAGCTGCTTATTTCCAGCTTTAAATGTTTTTAATACTTGGGCTCTATTAGAGCAGCTTTGTATGATTCATATTTCAAAATAATCCTTTTTCATCTTATAATGAGCCTTGATTTTAGCCCCTCAGCTCATCCACTGTCTGAAAGAAGCAGTTTTACTGCCATTTGTTCACTTGTTAGGACAACTTATTCTGATTGGCTCCTTCTCACAAACAAGAGGTTTGAACAGCAGCTGGGTGTGGCTTCTGTGCTTCGATAGCTAGAGGTGTGTGTAGAGCTAGAAGTGAGTGTGCAAGTGACTCACTTTTGGAGCCTCAAGTGGATGTTAGAGGAACTGCGAGTTTTGGGACTTCCACATTTGGCTGTATTTTTTGGTCTCGGAGGTTCCTGATCATTAGAGTATTCGGAAGCCTTTTGGTTCACAGGGTTACATTTAAAGAGATGCTTAATAGGAACATCTACTGCAACAAACAAGTTAAAGCAGATTGGAATCTAAAGATATGAATGAGTTAAAAAGGTTTTTACTTAATACAAAAGTTCAACTTTAAGAATAGTACATTTTCAGAACAGTTTTTTACTTTCATGAATCTCCATATTATCAAACAGTAAGGTCTCTCCCCTGTAACATTAGCTGCTGGATCACCATTAGCTCTTGGCACAGACATGGAGCACCATATGCTGTCGTATTATGTTATCACATCAGCACCATCTTAAGGATCTCTGGAGGGTCACTACATGTTTAGCGCAACATGACACTGACCGTCAGTAGAGATCAAGTCTGGAGCATGAAAAAGAAAAAGCTGTTAATGAAAATTACTTGATAAGTTTATTAGTTTGGTAACTTTTGGTTTGTTTTTTCTTGTTTAAAGAAAATTGCAACAAAACAAAAAACCATCAGTTCATAACAATCATTGTCACCTTTACATATCTTTCCTCAAACACCTGCTCTCCTCGACTCGGTTTTTAGGGTTTTCCATTACGTGGTAGTACCTGGTACCAGGTACTTTTTTTGGGCAGGCTTCCAAACAAGCTGAGTCAAGCCAAAACTGTGACATCAACACAACGCATGACAAAAATTTGCCAGGGAGTAACATCACTAGATGAGTCATGAGAGCTACACGCAAACCAACAGTGTGGTCTAATGTCGAGAAACAGACGCTTACCACCGGTTTAGCAGTCAGTGTACAATCGCCCTGATCTCCTCGATTGTTGTGTTTGTGTTTATGTTGCACAAAAATGATGTAACGGGACTTTTGCGTTGCTATAGCACCAGCTCATACAGCTCATACATTGAGTTGGTACTCAATTGTGATGGCAAACTTGAACTAAACCGAGTAGTCTTGTAGACGCTCATGGAAAAGAGGAATTACTGCTGTGTTGTTGCTGTGCGTGCCGTCACTGATGTTGTCGTTGTTGTTGTGACTGTACTGTACATGAATAAATCAGCATGTAAGTAAGATTCCTATTGAAAGTGAAGAAGGTTTTCAGATGAAGAGATAGTTGCACAATGATATAGTTTTAGTCTTGCTTGTTTGTTCCAGAGGGTGTGCTGACACTGCACCTCAGCCTACAGACTCACACAGCAAACATTATGTTTTCTTTTTAATTGACTCTTTCCTCTCCACACTGAGAGAAAACCCACGGAACAGCACCCACCGCCTCACCAGTTCAATCATTTCTACCATTTATTATTGTAATTATCTAATACGCCATCATAGAAAAATGTTCCACTCAGAGTAACAGCAAGAAAAGCAGCATATTTACAGGTGGAATCATTTATTTAGAAAGCACTGATGACCGAGGTCCAGAGGCTGTTTTCACTGCCACACAGATTCGAAATCGAAAGAAAGTTGACTGAAAGCAGCAGACAGACAACAGTGTGTCGTATGTTTTGATTTCCTTCACGGAAATCACACACACACACACACACACACACACACACACACACACACACACACACACACACACACACACACACACACGACTTTGCAATGAAGATGAGAAGATGATGACAATGGGATTAGGTATTGTTGTGCTTTAACAATAAGTAAACATCCAGCACTGATTAGCATGCTGACAGTATAAACATACACAGGAACTACAAACTGTGTTTGTTGTCTGACTGAAGGCCAGAGCTTTTATTTTGAAATTGCCAAGTTTCCTGTGCACTCTGAGTCAATGCTTCTGTCAAATACCGGAAACAAAGTTATTATGGAATTTATAACAAAAACAACAATGATATTATTATTATCATTGTTGTTTTATACTACTACTACTACTACTACTACTACTACTAATAATAATAATAATAATATTAATAATAATATTAATTACATTTAAAATAGTTAAAAAGGGTGAAATATTTTACAAATAAATTCAAAATCAAGTATATCTAGAAATTAGACTTAAGAAATTAAATACTGTTTTTTATATCTGTATATATTTGTATATGTTTTATTGCAAAATATATACAAAAT